ATTTATACCCTGTAGGCCTACACTAAGACATACACCAAACAATGGAAAATATAAGGCATGCATGCACACTTAATTTCAACTTTTAAAAGTAGATGTATGCGATACCTTAAAACTTTGACCAATCAACACCCTGGTGAAACTTCATGAACTCCTTAGTATAAGAAGCAAGTGTAGGAGGAATTGGGATCTCTTGAAACAAGTCCCAACACCCTACCAACTTGATATGACACCACACATCTCACTATAAAATTAGGGTCCACCATAAAAGTGAGGCCCACTATGCATGAGATGTGCGGTGTCAAATGATGTTGAGAAGGTGTTGGAACATATTTTGTTGACAAGTGATCCAAATTCAATGTGAATTGGGATCTCCTACCAACAGAATACATTCCAACACCCTACCAACTTGATCTAAATTTAATGTAGGAGATCTATACTACATTAAAGAAGGGTGTCCACTCTGGACATCATGAATTTATCTTTAATTTGCTCATTTTAGGAAGGATGATTAAATCCTTCTGAACACTTCACTTGTAAACACGCATGGTGTTCTCATTGTTGGTTCGAGTGGTTAAGTGTTGGTGGGCTTAGTCTGTTATAGGCCTTTAATTATTGGGCCTAAACTAGTTTTATTTTACTTCATTATGTCTGGGTGTCCCATCACTAATCAGGGRTATTCTAATCTATTTATGTAACTTCTTATTGTAAATATATATAATAGCTTCTAGGGCCAATTGAGAAAGTATTGCCGCCCATTCTCAAACTTTTTCTCTTCTCTTCGTCTTCCTCTTCTGTTGTTGTACTTCAGCAAACATAGTATCAGAGTTCCATTCGGCCTGACTGATTACAGCTAGTTTCTTTCTTTTTTCTCYTCTTATTTCTGTTACTGTGAAGAAGCCTTAGGATTGATCGTAGACAACAGAAAGGTCTTTGTCTAGGGTTTCTCTTGGTTGTAGGGCCCAAGGGGAGTTTTTCCCAGAAGTTTATGCCCTACTAGTGGTTTTGTAGTAGTTAGTAGCCATTCGACTAATAGAGAGATTTGTGTAAAACAAATCTAGGTAGAAGGACTGAGTGGACAGTCCTAGTTGTTGTCTGGGAGATTGAACAGTTTACAGAGGGGGTGGTCACAACCTAGGTTCGACTTCTAGAAGTGATGTTTTTTAACATTCGAAATTGCTCTCAGCCTAGAACTGGTTACAAAGAGTGATTCAGTCTAGTTATAGAGGGTCTTTTTCAGCCCAGTAACAACTTTGGTAAGTTCGAAATCTTGTTTCTCTTGTTGAKATTACAACTGTGGTTATTGTAAGAGAAATAATATGTCTTCAATATCAAGAGAAGTGACTTTTAAGGACAATAGGAGTGGTGGGAGGTCTTCAGGCCTAGAAAACCCAAATCTGTATTGCTTGTAGATCACCAGTGTGTTGTAGATGAATACAACTTCAGAGAATGGTTAGTTTCAGCCAAGCTTTTCATTACTTTTTGGGAACTTAAGGGTTATTCAAATGGACAGAAGAAGGAACCTAAAGAGGATGATGCTGATTAYTCAATCTGGCATAAGGAAAATGCTACTGTTATGTCCTAGATGCTTGCCTCAACGACTCCAAGAGTGGTTAGGACTGTTCAACACTTCCCTACTGCATCTAAAATTTGGGAGAAGGTGTCTAAAACCTATGGACAATGAAAGAACAATGCAAAAATTTATAAGCTAACCCAAGATATTGTTGCATTGAGATGAGGGGATATGGTTGTTGCAACTTACTTTGCAACTTTAGAAGGACTATGTGAAGAACTTGACCACCACCTTRTACTTGATTGGGAAAATAAAAGAGATAAGGGGAGGCATGATAAACAAATTGAARAAGGCAGAGCTTTTAAGTTCTTGGATGGCCTAGACCCGATGTATGAGAGCATAAGATCCCAAATCTTGGGAAGGGATGAAATTCTAGATTTACATCATGTTTACTATCTTATAAGGAATGAAGAGGTTAGAAGGAAAGAGATACAAGTTGACATCCAAGTACAGCTTATTGAGCATTCAGCCTTGATTTCTTCAACCCCAAAAGGGGGCAAGCATTTAGATAAGAGCCATATCAAGTGCTCTCACTATGGAGATGATAGACATTTGAAAGAGACTTGATGAATTCTTTATCCTCACCTAAAACCAGCTGCATTAAGGAAAGACAAGAAGCTTCAAAAGAGTCAAACAAGTGGGAATGTTGTCATAAGTAACAATTGTGAAAGTTCAAAGAACACACCTATAATTGCACCTCCTCCTATGGGATAGATACTAATTTTCACACATCAGGATCCTTTGGTTTCATCGCTAATGAGGTAGAAATCCTTAGCCAAGCCATGGCTTGTCTAAGGAACAATTCCCTTGCCTCCACCTCTCTTGCCAGATTAGGTATTGTCTCTGCTCATAGTGTGACTAGTTCTATAGTGTCTAATTCTTGGATTATTGACTCTRGTGCTACTGACCACATAACACACGTCTTCTTTATTTTCTTCTTATCATTTGATGTCTGGCCAAGAAAAAATGAGAGTTGCTGATGGTTCCCTTTCCACCATCTCTGGGAAAGGGGAGGATGACCTAAGCAAGGATCTCTCTCTTAAATYTATTCTACATGTTTCCAATCTTACTTCCAACCTCTTATTTGTTTCTAAGCTTACCAAAAATGTAAACTGTAGCATAATATTTTTTCCTACTCTCTGTGTCTTTCAAGACAAATTGACGAAGAGAACGATTGGGAACAGTCATGAGTTTGGAGGTCTCTATTAATTTGATGCAGACATTAGTTTAACATTACAATCATCTACTATTAGTGGTTGGGATAATGAGGAGTCAGTAGGTAGGTTACATTTGTGGCATGCTAGACTAGGTCATTTACCTTTTCCTTCAATGCAAGGATTTTCTTGAGTTGTTCAATTGTGTTTCAAGTTAGCGTTTGGTTTGCAAAGTGTGTCAGTTGTCAAAACAATGTAGAACTCTTTATCCAATTTCTATTAATGAAATTCAAGCTCCGTTTGATTTAGTTGATTTTGATGTATGGAGTCCTTCACCTCTTATTTTTATGGATGGCTTTCATTACTTTATCAGTTTTATTGATCACTATTCACGATGCACATGGATCTACTTGTTAAAAGGGCATGATGAAGTACCATTGATAACCATGGTATTTTGTAAAATGGTTAAAACTCGGTTTGGTAAGAAAATTAAGCAATTTTGTTCAGAAAATGGTATTGAATATTTTAAAAGCTCTTTGAACCTATTCATGGAAGATGCAGGCATGTTACATCAATCATCTTGTGCTAATACCCCTTAATAGAATGGGGTTATTGAGCACAAAACTAGACATTTATTGGAGACAGCTCGAGCCTTACTATTTTAGTACAAGGTTCCCAAGCACTATTGGTCTCTAGTAGTCCTTACAACATTGTATCTGATAATTCGAATGCCATCTAGGGTGTTGGGTAAGAGAACTCTTTTCTCTATCATTTGTCCTTACCATCCAGGTTTTCCTCTTCCTCCTAGAGTCTTTGGTTGTGTGTGTTTTGTTCATGTCAATAATCCTAAGTAAGTTGGACCCTAGGGCTACAAAAGGGGTCTTTTTAGGGTACTTTCCCACACAAAAAGGTTATAAGTTCTATGATCCAATTACCAAGAAAAAAAATGTCACCAAGGATGTGGTGTTTTTCAAGTTTCAGTCCTATTTTCAGAACTCCAGGAATCCTCTTCAAGGGGAGACTAGTAGGATGGAAGAGGATTCTTCTTCTCCCTCCTTTATGCCTCTTTCAGCCTTGGGTCTTCCATCTTCTCCTCTTGATCCTCCCAATTTTAGCTRCCCAGGTGAATCTAGTGAGACTCCCACTTAACCTATTACTGCTCCTAATTACCTAGGTGAATCCAATGGGACTCCCACTAAACCCGTTACTGCTCTGAATGATGAGAATGTGACTGATAACACTAATAGGCAGCAAAATGATATGATAATTCCCTATAGAAGAAGAAAAAAAGATCCTCCAACTTATGGAAACAACCAATCAGACTTAGACCAATCTGTTTCAATGGTTTCAGGTAATCTTATCACTCATACTTCTGATTTGGATCTTCCCATTGCTATTCATAAGCCTACCCATTCTTGTACTACCTGACACTCCATTGCTGAATATATTTCTTATTCATGTTTGTCTCCTCCTTATTATTCCTTTGTATCTATTCTTTCTTCTGTTCATATCCCTGCTAGGTACTTAGAGTCAGTGTTTGACCCAAGATGGAGGGAGGCTATGAATGAGGAAATGAAAGCCTTAATGATGGCTAGGACTTGGGAATTAGTGGATCTACCAGAAGGAAAGAGCACTATGGGATGTAAGTGGCTGTTCACTATGAAGCACATATAAGGAAGATGGGTCCGTTGAAAGATATAAGGTCAGGCTAGTGGTGAAAGGGTTTATTCAGAAGGAAGGGATTGACTACAATGAGACTTTCACTCCAATTGCAAAGCTTAACACAATCCAGGTTCTATTGTCATTAGCTACAAGTTTCTCATGGAAGCTACACCAGTTGGATGTGAAGAACACTTTCCTGAATGGTGATCTACATGAGGAGGTATTCATGAATCCTCCACCTGGTTATGATTTTGATGGGAAGTTATATGGGATAAGGAAAAACTTATATGGACTTAAGAAATCCCCTCAAGCTTGGTTTGAAAGGTTTTGTGGGGCCATGAAGTGGGATACACTCAGAGTGGTGTAGATCATACCTTATTCATAAGGAAACAGGATAGCAAGCTTACAACACTTTAGTCTATGTGGATGATATGGTGATTACAGGAGATGATCCAAAAGAGATAAAAATATTGGAGTTCTTGGCATCTGAATTTGATATCAAAGATTTAGGCCATCTGAGATACTTCCTTGAAATTGAAGTTGCAAGGTCACAAGAGGGCATTTATATATGTCAAAGGAAGTATGTCCTTGATCTTCTAGAAGAGATAGGTGTGATGGGGAGTATACCAATAAATACTCCAATAGAGCATAATCATTGTCTCCAGGAATCGGTTGGAAAGGACTACCCTGATAAAGAAAGATACCAAAAGATGATGGGAAAATTGATACATCTATCTCTTACTCGACCTGATATAGCTTATGCAGTATATGTTGTCAGCCAGTTCATGCACTCTCAAAAGATTCCTCATATGAAAGCAGTGGAAAGGATCCTCAAGTATTTGAAGACATGTCCGGGAAAAGGAATTTTGTTCAAAAAGCACAATAAAATTGAAATTGAGGCATTTATTGATGTAGATTGGACTGGATCAGTTGGAGATAGGAAATCTACTTCTGCATATTGTACATATGTTGGGGGGAATTTGGTTACTTGGCAAAGTAAAAAGCAAAATGTGGTTGCAAGATCTAGTGTAGAAGCAGGATATCGAGCTATGGCACATGGTGTTGCAGAACTATTGTGGTTTAGAACTCTCCTTGGTGATCTCGAAGTGAAGGTTGATGGTCCTCTCAAGCTGTATTGTGACAATGAGGCTACCATCAACATTGCCAATAACCCATTACAACATGATAGTACTAAGCATATTGAGATTGATCGACACTTTGTAAGAGAGAGAATTGTCTCAGGTGAATTTTGCATTCCTTATACTCCCCCTGAGATGCAGGTTGTTGATGTTTTCACAAAAAGACTATCTTTAATGAAGTTCCTACACTTACTTGGCAAGCTAAACATGACTGACATCCATGCTTAGATTGAGGGGGAGTATTGGTTCGAGTGGTTAAGTGTTGGTGGGCTTAGTTGATCTTTTAGGTTTAAGTTCTTTAGTCTATTATGGGCCTTTATTTATTAGGCCTAAACCTGTTCTATTTTACTTCATTATCTCTAGGTGTCCCATCACTAATCAGGGGCATTCTAGTCTATTTYTGTAACTTCTTATTATAAATATATATAATAGCTTCTAGGGCCAACTGAGAAAGTATTGCCGCCCATTCTCAAACTTCTTCTCTTCTCTTTTYTTCTCTTCTTCTTCCTCTTCTATAGATGCACTTCAGCAAACACTCATGATCAACCTAAAGATAAACCTTACAGCTTTATAGGAAGGGGTGGATATAGACAAAGCTTTTCACAAGCTATTGAAGGCCAACTCTTGAAGAACTTGGTTTGGTTCAACCTCAATTGAGCTTCGGGCTGAATTCAAGCCCAATAAAGCTTGGTTCTTGAAGCTCACAAACCCCAAATCAAGCCTATATTATATTATACAAGGTCTAAAATATCAATATGGTGCCCTCAATATGGAGCATGTCATATTCATCTTCATATCCATGGCCAGGGATAAAGGATATATCAGAACTAGGTATGTATCCCACAAGTCATGTGTTTCAGTAGGATATGCCTCCATATCGCATTGTACCAATGGATATGATCCGATACGTATTGATATTGAAGTGTATCGGTGCCTAGTTTAACGAAATTATGTATTGACCACTTTTTTATTATTTTTTGAACTTTAATAAATATTAAGTTATAATTATAAAATTGAAATAAATAATTTAAGATTTAATTTYCCCAAAAAGTTTAATAAGAACTAAAATTGATAAAAAATAATTTATTTTATCTACTTTAAATGATTCATATGCTTCATTTTACATATAAATTATATGTTAAAAGTGAAAGCATATTTATTAATTGAAAGACTAGAGTTATTATTTATACAAAAAAATACTAAATAAATAAAACTTTCTAACAAAATTAATTAAAACTGAGAGTTATAAAAATAATTATTTTATCTACCATAAATGATTTATATTTTTTATTTTGCAATTATATTTAAAATAAAATAATTATATGTTAAAATAAAAACATATTTATTATTTGAAAAAAAGTTATTATTTATATAAAAATATTAAACAAATAAAATTTTCCAAAATTTTAAGAAAATTAAAAATTATAAGTGATAATTATTGTATGATGGTTACATGTTTTAGAGTCTCAATATTGTCGATTGCAATGTTTTTCTTTAGATAACCTATTAAAGTGTGCATTCCTCATGTGTGATGTCGAGCATGAGTTTTTGAGTCAAAATGAATTTGAGTTCATGCTTCTAACTCAAATAAAGCTTGAGCCTTATCATTTTCTATCAAGCTAAGCTCAAATAATCAAATACTTGACTCAACTCAACTAAAATCCACCCCTAAATGCCGGGTATGTATTCATCACTAGGCAATAATTATCCGGAATATACTTTTGTTTTTCATGTAATGAGCCAATTCTTCCCATCCATTAGCTGTAAATTGTATTCTGTGGATTCATCTTCCAAATGGCAATGGCACGGGCTTAGGGCARGAATCATATGCCCATATGCCCCATCCTTGTCCCTGATCCTAATCCCCATTGGGATAAAAAGTAACCTCCATTCTCAATCCCTAGTAGAGGATTTTTTAAATATAGTTTAATATGTATAATATATTAAATATTACATATTTAATATATATATAATATAAATATGAACTTCACTCCCCATCCCCTTCCCTGATCAAGTATCCATATTAATCCACATCCTCATGTCCACCCCCACTGAGGTAGCTAGTCTCTATCATTGACCCAATGGATTCAAGGCTAGGTACTCAACAGGGAAGGAGAAAATTGCCACCCTAGTTTCACATATCTAAATGCTCTTAAGAGGAGTATCGGGTTTTAACTTGTTATCTAACCCTCTAATGTACTAGTCCAAATCTCATACACTCAAGTTGTATTAAGACATACCTAACCAATGAAAAYTCACCAAAATAAATTAATAAGGGTCTGAATGGTCAAATTAAAGTTTCCCACTATCATATTCATTCTATTCTCACGTTTGATAATTTTGCCAATCAAATCCCTTGGGTGATTACTAATTAGGGGTGGATTCAAGCCGAGCCAAGCTGAAT